CTGCAAACCGATGAATGAGGCGGATTTTCTGGCAAAATTTATTTTGTCATTTTTGGCTGAAAAAATCCCATTATTGGCAGAAAAGAAGAAAATCATAAGAAAATAATGTTTTTTTTGCGATTTCGATTAAAAAATTTTAGTTTTGTGATCGGGTTTGGAGAAAAGCTTAATGGCTTTCGGGAAAAAACGGGAGGAATTCATTTTCGTTTTTTGTAAATTTGTACAAAGCTATAAACTTATCTCGTAATTTTTCGCCTTAAAGACCTCCAGATCGTCAGTATTTTTAAGTGAAACTCTAAAAATAGAGCGTCTTTGAGTAGAAAGTAAAGCAAAAAAAATTCTAATTACTTTCGGTAAAAAACTGAATAAAATTATTTGGTTTTTGTGCCAAATTCCCTGCAAACCGATGAATGAGGCGGATTTTCTGGCAAAATTTATTTTTAAAATTAAAATTTAATTTTGGAATTGAAACACAGTCAGGAAAGTACGTACAATGAAAATTTATTTTGTCATTTTGGGCTGAAAAAATCCCATTATTGGCAGAAAAGAAGAAAATCATCAGAAAATAATGGTTTTTTTGCGATTTCGATTAAAAACAAAATAGAGCGTCTTTGAGTAGAAAGTAAAGCAAAAAAGATCAGTCCATATTTTTTTTAACAAACTTAACAAGATTTCCAAATAATCTGTTATAAACTTTCGCTAATTCTGTTCATTTTTTTATAGAAAATTATTTGATTTTTGTTTGTTAAGATTGTCAGCATATTTTAAGTGAAACTTTAGAAAATTGAGCGTAACTTGGCTAAAACTGTAAAATTCTGAAATTTTGAAGACATTTTAAAAATATTATTAATAAATGGCCCTTAAAATAAATCTAAAAACAAGTGAAAAAGTCATCAACATTTTCCCAGCAACGGAACTGAGTTACTGCGCCGGTGCGTTGTGTTGGCGTAGCACTGCGCCAACTCCTAAAAATTCACTGAGTTACCCAGGCCTACTTTGATATTAAAAGTGTCTTCCTGGCTGAAGCAGTCTTGACTGGATATTTTGATAAAGATGTTTGTGAGCGAATACTTTTTTTCACGTGTATTATTCTGAGCGAAATTTATTAGTGAGAAAAGAAACAGAGTTAAAGGTAAGAAATTTAAGTTATAGACAGATATAGTGCTGTAAGGGCTTTTTAGATGTTTTAGATGTATAATCTTTGTGATTTTGATGAGTTTACCAACAATGTAAAAAGAAAGTTATGACTTGTAAATGGGCTACCATGAGACACTGTTTTTAGGCCACCTTGAGGCCAAAAAAATATCTTCAAATTTACAGTAATGGTGTGCTTTCCACCGTTACAAACCTAAGTAAATAAGTGCAATTCCGGCAGCTAATCAACTTCTCTGGACGTTCATGTGAAGTGTTTGGAAAAAACCTCTGACTTTTTTCGCCTTATGGTGGCCCACTCTCCCCTACTGCTGCATGAACCTTATAGCACTAATATCTGTTTTCTGTCAATAGACAAATTTACGGTTTCAAGAAGGCAAAGACCTAAAAGGACGTTGATTTTTACCAATCATGAGTTTCTGTGAATTTTAAATCTGATGATGGCGCTGTTGTCTCGCCGAAACGTAATGAAATAAACGGTGTTCAAAATTTTTACTTCACACTTTGACTGACACCCAGGAAGGCTAAGAATATTATTAACTTTTAATACAGTGGCCTCATTTTCCCATTTTAGTAGTAGGTACTTTTCAATGTGAAAACCTTAAACAAAATAAAGAACGTCACGCAATTGGTTGTTTGTTTCGTTTGTTTTCATCCACCTGCGCTATCTGAAGTGTTGATAAACCTCTGAAGTGCTAATTGAAACCAGTCCATTTTCAACATGAAAAATTACGAAAATATAAGTGCTTGTTTGTCAATCGGAACCCGATTTCTTCAAGCGCACAGCTTCATTTTC